TTATGTCTAGCTTGCTTCTCTCCTTCATTAGTTTCCACCCATTGCTTCTTGTCCTGCCCTCAGGGGCTTTGGAGAATAGTTTCATTCCCTCTTCTCTGTGGCAGCCCCTGAGATATTGGAAGGCTGCTATCATGTCTCCCCTAGTCCTTCTTTTCATTAAACTAGACATACCCAGTTCCTGCAACCGTTCTTCCAATGTTTCAGCCTCCAGTCCCCTAATCACCTTTGTTGCTCTTCTCTGCACTCTTTCCCTTACAGAACAGCAAGTCGGATTTGTGACCAGGCGTCTCTCGTTCCCGCCTCCCCTTCCTTGCACACCCAAATCAGTGTGAAGTCGGAGCGAGCCTCCCCCACAGCCAGCTGTTCCTCGGCTATCCCCCAGCTCTCCACATACATGCGTTCCAACCTCGGCAATGTCCCCACGGACCTCCCTGCCTCTCAGGAAGATTATATCAAGGGTTATCATTACTCGTTTCTGCTTTCCCGGCCTCCATCGGAAGAAGCGAAGCAGCCCAACATCCCCTCCCATCGCCTGCCGGTGTCTGCCGCAGAGGAGTGGCAGAAGTAACCAGCTTGTGCTCAGTGGAGGCGGCTGTATTGTAGGCGTGCGCGTAAGAGGGGAGGAGTGAATGCCAATCACCTGCGTTCACCTATCAATCATAATAGGGCCAAAGTAGAGAAATGACAGATTGCAGAATCGTGTGTGCAGGGAAAGCCTCCCCAGGGAAGGAAAAATTCAGTTGGTAGAACAGAGAACAGGTTATTGGCAGCAGATTGGAAAGTCCTCAACTTACAACCATTCATTTACAGGTAGTCCTTGACTTGCAGCCATGCATTTAGCAACGCACTGAAAGAAGTGACCTATGACGGATCCTCGCTCAGGGGTGGCATTCAAAATTTTTAGCAACCGGTTCTCTGCACGATTGCTGGGTGAGCCTGGCCATGGTGGGCCTAGCCTATTCTGCTTCCTGCACCACCTGGGGGGGCATTTTCACCCTCCCCAGGCTCTGGAGGCTTTCCTTGAGCCTCCGGAAAGGCAAAAACACCCTCCCCCTGGGCTCCGGAGGCTGGGAACGGGCCCGTTTCTGGACTTCCGTGAGGCCTGTTTTTTGCCCTCCCAGAACTTCCACGTAGGCCTGGCATCCAAAATGGACCAGGGGAGGGGAGGAGAGGGGCAGGGCGAGCCAGTCCTTGCAACTACCGGTTCAGCGAACCAGATGTTAAAATTAGCATCCAGTTCGCCCGAACCGGCTGAATCCCACCCCTTACGACCGTAACAGCATTCCCCACAATCATGTGATCAAAATTTGGGTGCCCAGCAACTAGCATGCATTTATCTTTTTTTGTTTTGCAATAAAGTTTTTTTTTTCCTTTCAAATTCATTATTAAATATACATTCTTATAATTGCTGTTTAACATTTGTCAATTCATATCATTTTTCCGCCTGTATATTTACATTTTCATACTTTCCTGTTTCCCCTCCCCCTGGCTTAATAATGTATCATCTTGAGTTATTTGTTTTAGCTTTGTTCCTTTCTATTTGTCTCCTTTTTTCAAGTCAATCATAAAATCGCCCGAATGTCCTGTAGTACACCGATTCCTCTTTGTCCTTTATTCTCAACGTCAACCTGTTCATTTCTGCACAATCTGATATCTTCCTTATTACCTCCCCTTCCGGTGGGATTTTGTCTGCTTTCCAATTTTGTGCAAATATAATTCTAGCTGCTGTTATTATTTGCACAATCAAATATGAATCTTCTTTACTGTATTTCTCTGGTAGAATATCCAATAAGGATACCTCTGGCTTAAACTCTGCGGGCTGTACTAGCATGCATTTATGATGGTTGCAGAATCCTGAGGTCTCATCATCATCACTTGTGACCTTCCCGGCCCAGCTTCCAACAAGCAAAGTCAATGAGGGAAGTCAGATTCACTTCATGACTGCATGATTCTCTTAAATGTGATTTGCTTAACAACCGTGGCACAAAAAGTCATAATAGCAATAGCAATAGCAGTTAGACTTATATAACGCTTCATAGGGCTTTCAGCCCTCTCTAAGCGGTTTACAGAGCCAGCATATCGC